ACGAACAAAAACCGGATAATGATTTTTAAATAAAAGTAACACGAATTCATGAATCTATATCTTTTTTGGAAATTCTAATATTTTTTTTGGTATATTCATAAAGTAACAAAGTAGTACAAGATGTCACGTTAGTAAATTAATAGGCTCATATTCTTAGCCCACGGCTTACGTGTTATATGAAACGAAGAGTACGTATGGGAGATTATGGTAAAACCTAACTCAAATTCGGACAACTCGGATAACTCCTTTCAAATTCGCAACCATTGCACAACAATGAGAAGATGTACAGCAGCTTTGTATATATAAAAAATAGGGATTATAAAAAAAGACAGATCATTTCTATTCTCATGCTATTCCCATTATATCCTCTAAGGTACACTTTCACTTTAATAATGAAATACTTTCTGCAAAGAATAAACTCAGTTATAGGTGAGGAAATGATTAATAAGTTTTGATAAAAAAAACATCAAAAAAAAAAAAATCTGCATCACATTAATCTTTGCAGATGTTGATAAAAAAAAATTGTTTATATATAGACCGCCCTTTGTATTAAGCCGTCACGTTAAACAAAAACACAATCCTCCTTGGTACAGATAAAAACAAAAAGTAAATCATAACACGAATAATTACTACATTTATTCAATTTTCTAAATATATTTAAAAAAATTATTTAAATACCCTCAAAATTAGAAGAGATAACCATCTTAACTGCCGCCGCACTCAAGCGACGAGACAGTAAAAAAAAAACCTGTCAAATATTAAAATTCCTTTTTTTTTTTTTTCATAACTTTAAATCCAATACCCACATATATACATATATATATATTACATAAAATATACACATATAAAATATGGCTCCACAGTTACACTTTACTATCGTTAGACATGGAGAAACTAGCTCCAACCTGAATCATATTATACAAGGACATATAGGTTCGTAGATTTTTTAGTTACTGTATATTTGAATATTTATTATTGATAAAATTAATGAAATTGATGAAATTGATGAAAATATTTACATTCATTCATTCATTACATTGATTCAGATACAAAATTAAATAAAACAGGAAGAGACCAGGTAGAGTTAGTTGGAAAGCGGTTACGTAAATTAAAATTTGATCATATCTACTCCAGTGATTTATCCCGGGCAAAGAAGGTAAGAAAAATTATATTTTTAAGATAATTATCTTATTTTTTAAAAGTAAATAAATATCTTTTACTCATTTTTTAAACCTTTTTTAACATTCTTTTTTTCTAGACGGCAGAAGCCATCGCTAAACATCATCCGGACACACCATTCACTGTAGATATTCGACTTAGAGAAAGGGTAAATATTTTCACTTAAATATGTTAATCATTAACATTTATTGCCATTTATTGCATTTATTGAAATAAAAATAATAATTATAATGATTTTCATATTATTAGGATATGGGAAGATTAAGTGGAAAATCTATCCAAGTAGCTTTAGATTTAATTAAAGAGGAAGGAGCTACATGGGATGATTATGGTGAACCAGAGGAAGATTTTAAGGCCCAGGTGGTCGATTTCTTCAATGATATTATTGCAAAACATTTACCAAAAAATGATTTTCAACAATCTTCTGGTTCACCAAAACAACGTAATCCTCATATTTTAATAGTTACTCATGGTGGTGTTATAAACAAACTTGTCAAAGAACATGTTATTATGGATTTAGGTTTCTTTGTAAATGATTATTTAAGTATGAAACATAAGGCTAAAAATACTAGTGTCACAAAATTCGTTGTAAGGAGAGCTGAAAACTCTATTTCAATTACGGATGATGATGACGCAACTAGTGTTATCAGTAGTAATACTGCTGAAAATGAAAGTAATGATGGAACAAGTATCAAAGATGATGATTCTGAAAAGATTATTCGTCGTGATATTGAACGTAAGATTCGACTAAAAGGCGAAGTTACACTATGGAGTTGTGTATCACATTTAACTTCTCAAGGCAAAAGAACTCACGGTGATTCACAGATTGATGACTTTGTACATTAGGTCTTTCATGTATTAAAATGTATAACTCAGTATAACTCATAAATGTTTAAGCAGAATTTATACAATATATACAATACAGTATAAATGTATATGCTTTTCATAAATACGATTTGCATAAATTGAGATTTTTTTTTTTTTTTAACAGCGGGTAATTTGTTCAATAATACTAAATTAATCATGGTGTCATTTTTTGTACTATTTTCATTCTGTAGATAACACAATTGTTTTATTTCGCATAAATTGTGCTTTTCATTTACGTTAATCTAAAAAAGAACTTGTTTATCGTTATGTTGTCATTTGTAGTTCATTTTACGATCAAATTAATTAGTGAAAATAGCTTATAATTTAGATTTTGTCGATTCTTTTTTTAATATTATTATAGAAAAAAACCTTTTAACGAAGTTTGAAGATTTGTTAAGTTAGAAATAGAGTTTTTTTAATAAAATACAAAAACAGTATTAGAAAAAGGAGAAACGGGTTATGTTTCTTTCTAAATCCTTCCTTTTCGTTTTTTTTATTAGCAGTTAGTCATAAATAGAAATAACAAATAGAAATAAATACTGGATACGTAATAAATAAACATTATTATTGGTACTTTAATTTATATTGATCGTTGTTATTTTTTCCTGCAACTAAATCAAATGCATCTTTATGGTTATTTTATAACAAAGGAAAAAAAAGGATGAATGACGGGAGCGAATAAATAATGGCGCATTAGAAAAAAGGTTTTTTTTTTTAATTTAAACTTGTAAGTAATAAAATGTAACAAATTAATTTAAACTTAAATACAAGCTGATTCTGGAATCTCTTGTAACGAGCTGATAAGGTCAATCGCTAGAAATAGAAAAAGCTTCTTTTTTTTCGCACTAGTGCTTTTAATAAATTGGGCGCAGATTATACTTTACACCAAACAGAATAAGCATTAAATAAGCATCGGATAGGCACCGGATAGGCGCTGGATATTCATTGAACACTGTCAATCTCTATTATTGGCAACGTTACATTTTAGGAAGTTGAAAGACTTAAATGAATTATATGAATGCAGATACTTTTTCCCCAAAAAATTCCCAATTTCCCAACCCGCTAAAATAATAATAGGGGCAGGTCGCGGCGAACCACGACCCACCCAGCAGACAAAAATTATCCAGTCGAGACACCCCGTAGGATGTTCGAAGCGGCAGCCCCAGCTTTAGTGCAATGCCAGCAGCCACCACCTATACAACCACCTTGTTGATCATGGTTATATCCTGGCAGGTAAGTATGAAGTTCTGCTACTCCACTTGCTTGGTATTTCTATAAAATTTGGGAATTATGGGATTCGTCGATTCGGAATTCTTCGGAATCGTGGTTTACTGCGCCGGAGTTATCAAAATATTTTTTAAGATTTATATTAATGTAGCTCATTAATTAAATAAATAAAAAATAATAATTTTATAATTTTGTTATAGACATGGTCTCTGGTGATAATTGGAAGATTGGAAGCTTTTTAGACGAATGGAATGAAAAAATTAATTCCAATAAAAATATTGGAAGTTTTCAATGCGAATAGATATGATATATACAGTATATACATTATGCATGTAAAATAATATA